GCTGTTTAACCAATAATATCACTCCACGTCATCCATACTTAACACATTTTTTGCATAAACATTCCAAATTGAAATTCAGCATCACTCGGGATTTCCTACTCATTCTTCCTATTCACTCTCCACCCACCGTGAATTGGAGCCGTACATATCTATTATGAACTAAGAGATGTGTGGCTGCAATCCACAGCGGGTAGAGAGTGGGTAGAAAAAATGAGTAGGAAATCTGGGTTCCTTCAGCATTATATGCTTATGCATCATTTGTTGATGCTCAGCCTCACTGATCAGATCAGCCTGCTCGGCGGCAACCCATACCAAGACTCGGAAATTTTCTGAGAAAGGATGCCTCTCTCTCTCTCTCTCTCTCCAGCTTTCATAATGTGAAAAACAAATAGAGGTGAGGAACTGGGGAACTGGGATAGGATTAAATTTCAATTAAAAACTATCTTCAATTAATTATTTTTTGGCTATAGGTAGAATGTATGTTTCCATCTGTCAAACAAAAACTTTAATTCACATCAAGTGGACCATACAACTTAGTATAACTTGGACTTCGAATATAGAGCTATGACTAAGAAACTAGATTCCTGAAATTTCTCTGGGTGGTCCAGCTGGTGTCCCAAATGTATGACAATTATTCTAGCTAAGGCTGTTATTGGTCATTTCTTATGTTTCTATTAAAAAGGGTAAGAGCCAAAGTTCACTTTCAATGGAAGCCCATTAGTCCATGATCTGAGTGTATTTTTAAATTGGGTTTCCACTGAAAGTTTCTAACTCTAGCATGACTATTTTGATTTTTCTGGGAAGTTATATCAAACAATGAAAAATTTTTCATTTCAATTCAGTTTCATTTCCCCAAACTTCGTCATTCAAAGAAATTTTAAATCAACAAAGGCCCATTGGATTATTATGTTGGACTAGAAGTTCATGAGGCCCCAGACCCGCAAATCATAGAGGACTAAGGTGTGTTGTGGCTAGAACTGAAAGTTGATCAAAGGTCAATGTTAGGTTACCTTCTAGAGATCAAGTGTGAAGGGACCTTGAGCAGAAGAGTATTTTGGCTATATATTCAAGCATGTCAGGAGTGACTTCAGAAACTGTGGGCATAATAAAATGGATGTAGTTTAGGCTCACTTTGGAAGGAGCACAGATATAAATATGTAGAGTGCAAAATCTTGTATTTTGTGTTATTTTATATATATTTGTGTTTGTACTCTTTTCAATTTGAACCTTAGGCTGTGTTTGGTTAAAATGCAATTTTATTTATACTAGTACAAATGTATGAGAGTTTGGTTAATTTTGTTCTGCTTCAAGTTTTAATTTATTTCATTTATACTGCAATCAAAACAAAATAAACAAAAATAAGGCAGAATTTACACTCGAATAATTTGTACTGCCACAGTTTTACATCAGTGCAAATTTATTTGCATTGCAACCAAACACAGCCTTTAAGTACTTCGTGCTCTAAGTAGGGGATCATTTTGTTGATCCAAATTGCATGAATTGAAGATCGATGGATGAACCAAATCATATATTTCAACTAATGATCGCTTTTGCATAAAAAAAGAATCAATGTAAGATTTTCAATCAAAACCATTTTGGATTCATGATTTGAATCGCGAATTGTATTGTAAACGGTGAATTTTGACCACTATGATATGGTTCTGTTAGTTAAAGATTAAACTCAGTTTTATGAAAGAATAACCAAGGTCTCCACCATTGTGTATTCTGAGGTCCTTACCCACATTGATTTTTCCTTCATAACACCTCTTGGGCCAAGGTAAAGGCTGATGTAGGACATTTGTCCATTCCAAGGTACTACTCGTACTTACAGTTCAAAATTTCGATATAGTACTACTTGCAGTACTAAAGAACTCAAGGTTTGAAATTTCGTATTGGATGTATCATATTGTATCTTTTGGTGATTAATATATTTATTTTGAAATATTTAAAAAAATCTTTTTTCACAATTAAGTAACATAAAAATAACCCATTTCTGAAATTTTTAAAAAAATAAAAATTAAAAAAATGCAACTTTTAAAATATCGATGGATATACGTTGACATTTTTAGTCACCATTGCTTTCCCTCAAAAATAGAAAATAGTCTCTGTTTATTTTAGAGATAAATTTTAGTTAGTCCAATAGCTTTACCCGAATAATTATTAGTTTTAGGGAATTCGAAATTTTAGTTCTGCAACTTTCAATTATTTTTTGAGATCATATCTTCATTTTGCTGTCTTCAACTCTTCATATTAGCTATTTGAGAAGCAGTTGATGGGGTAAACCGATGTAGTTTGGAAGAATTATGATTGAATTACGTAGCTTTCTGGTGTCAACCCCAACTGTTACCAAACTACGTATTTGGGAATTGTATTCTTATTGAGATTTGTTTTGAGGTAATGAATCTTGTATGTAAATATGGGTGAGATTCAGTTATCATCGGTCAAGGATTTTATTTCCATGCTCGTGAACATACTACTGCTTTAGTGATGTTGAATACCATTCATTATGGTCAAAAATCAAAGTTAGATCTTTTCAACTAAAATTAATTGTTTTTCCCTTTGATAACAAGAATTTCTTAATTTTGAATATTTATTCTCGATTTAGTTTTTGAACTAGGATGTTGAGTAGCTTCTTGATTCTTCATTTTCTTCAATCTAGCTCAGGGGTCCACAACTTTTTCAATTCCTGAAAACTGATTTCTTTTTACTTCTATAATTCAGTTCTAGTAGTTGATTATGAATTATCCAATGAACAAATTCTGTTCGTTTATTCAATTTTATTTCTTAACTTATCTTTTGTTAGAGAATTAAAATCTATTCAGGAGGGACCTCACCTATTTAGGGTGAACAGTTCCTTGAGATGGTATTGGCCAAGTGGCGTACCTCTTCCATTATAAATTAAATTTCAGCACAAAGTATTGGTGAGTTTATAATTGTCCACACTTCAAGATTGATGGACTTTTGCGTGAAAGGGTATATTAGAGAATAAAAATCTATTAGAACAGCAAGAAAACGCCACGCAACGGCTTTCGTGCCATTCTGTTTCTTGCTTCGGTTCACACTAGAAAGTGCTTCAAAAGGTGTCAGCAGGTGCACAGAGTAGAAGCCTGACATGTTCACCCGGTGGGCCGAGTGTTCGCCCAAGCATGCGAAGCCACTTTGGTGTATAGTTTGGCGCTAGCACGCTCAACAAGAAAATGGCTGTGCATAGCCTGAGCTTCTTCGCCTTTAGATAACAAAAAGTGTCCGCCCCTTAGGTCGCCAAACTACGACGAGAGTTTCGCCTTTTGAAGCGCCAGTAGCGTAGGGCGACCGGGCCAGGCCGAGTCAGAAAGGCTTTGATGACTCAAGGTTATATATATACAACATAAGCAGCAATGCCATGCAACTACCAGTCAACCAAGTGAAATGTCAAGCAACCATTAATGACTTAATGTTGGAATATCTAAAACGATTGGCAAATAGAGAAACAGAAGGAAATGAAAACTCGGCAATTGAAGAGTTTAGGTCCATAGGAGAAGGAAGAGCAGAAACCCACTCTATCAAAAAACATTGGAGTACAAAGGTTGTTTAGTTTCACACAAACCCTAATACCCTATACATCGGCCCATTGTGAAAATGGGCCAAGCATTAGAACTTAGAGACACGATTTTGACAATATAAACTATTGGATTTTAATTTCATTAGAGATTAAAATGGGATTTGATTGATCAATTACATGAAAAATACACCTGCACACATGTTTTGGAAAATAGTTTTTTCTCTTACTAAAACCAGTTTTCAACTTGTCCTACATTGAAAAATTGCAAAACTTGTTTTGAGTTCTTAAATAGGAGCTTATTTACATTACATAGAAATAAAGAGATTATGGAGGCTTACTACCACGCAACATGCGTGCATGCATGTGTAAGGTGCAATGAGGCGCTTTAGATGTGCACTTTGCTCGCACCCGTGTGGCTTGCAAAGGACGACTTTGATTTTTTGTGCGAGGCTGACCGTTGATTTTTCAATGGTTATAATTCGATTAGGTGTGACTAAGAGGCACTATTCAAAATTAACAGTCATTAACAGTTAATTACATGACTCTTCAAGTGTGACCAATGAACATTTTCTAAATCAGCACCTTCCTCTACTACATGACTTTCAAAAATTATTTAAGGAGTGTGAATCAAGCAATTATACATACAATCTTTTCAAAAATCACTCTTGTCTCTTTCTCTTCAATTTGCTACTATCTCATAGAATGTTTCTTTGGAGAATCTCTTCAACTTTTCTAGTTGCAGACTCTTATCCAAGGCTTTGTTGTTTCCTGGGAATGGATTTGCCTATAACCCAAGAACAAACTCAGAGAAACTGAGTGCGGGCAAATAACACTCTGAAAACAATATTTTTAGACACATCTTAGAGCTTCTCCTCCAAGTTTTAGTGACCCCAATTTCCCAACATTAACAACAAAAGAAAATGAAAATCTAAATCCTAATGCCACTTTTGATGATTATTGTCATAATAGGATGACCAAAGACTTGCTCCGATTGTCTGGTTTTTCTGGATTACTTTATAAGATATCCAGATGGGCTTCTCACTATGGAGGAGCTCCACAATGCATTGATGGTTGCAGAATCTCATGGACGATGATGTTGTTGAAAGTTGAAACAGCTTGAATGGAGTTATACAAGATAGAAAAGACTGATAGTGTCATTATCAAAATATCAAGTGTTGCTCTAGCAGTAGAATGACAACACTAAGCAGAGGATTTCCCTGATACAAATGCCTCGTTCATGGAGAGTTTAAACTGGAAGAAAGGGTTCCTCAAAGCGAAAGATTGAAAAGTTTACGAGAAGTGAAGCAGCTCCAGTCGAATCTTGTTCAAGCTTTTTACTTGACTTCTACCATTTCCAGAACAAGCATGCATCAACTAGTTATGCGATTGGGTGCTTTATAGTGGCTATTTTTGTTTCTCTCCTTTCTAAGACACACTCAATCATGGCACACCAGAGAAGTAATTTGCCAAAAGTATGCAACATGATGGTTACATATGAACACCCCAAATTTGATTATAAAATGCAAAGCACATTTTCTCTCCTTTTTAGTTATTTCGAGAATCTATTTACATGATTTGAATCTCAGCTCTCAAGAGGAGCAAACGAAACTACATGGAAATTTCTCGTTGGAGAAACAGCCATCACCATTTCTGCACTGTTGAATGTTGTTGAATCTTTCCTGAAATAGCAGCTGCAAGTGCTGCAGTGAAACTGGGATCCTTGGTCAAGGAAGAAGCCATCTGTTCGACCAAGAACTGTTTGAATGCCGGAGGCTTGGTCTCCTCGTTGGGTTTCTTGACACTGTTACTCAATCCCGGTTGGGTGAGATCAAGTGTTATGGTTGGGCCTGAATTTGACGAGCTGATGGAGGCTGAGCAGGGGACGGACCCAATTGTTACGCCGTGGCTCGACCCCAGTGCTGTCTCAGCTTGAGAAGGGTGTGGGTGGTTGTGCTCGCCTTCGTATGTCGCTACCAAAAGTGTTCGATCTTCAGCACTTCTCTGAACCTGAACAAAAATATTAAAACATCCCAAAACAACTAAGTTTTCATCTCCTTGAAGGCCATAAGGCCAAGAACTATCGTAATAGTACGCAATTCATCAGATCAGAACCTTGTGACTCACCTTCTTTTTGACTGGGCAACTTGGTGCAAAGGAGCATTTGAAGTAAGCTCTAGGAGATGGGTTATCTCTGGTTACTTTTTGACCGTATTTCCTCCATTGGTATCCATCCTTCACCACCTGTAAATTGCAGAAAGAGAACAGACGAATGGTTTAGTACTTGGAAATTCTTTTCATTCTTTCCTTTCTAGAAATTCTCTATTTCTTTAGATGTAGATTTCAGTTTTCAATTAATCAGAAGCAGATATATAGAATTTTATCGATCTCTCAATACTTACCAGGTTGGTATCGGAGGCATCGATCCGAACATATACTCTTGAGATCTTTGTCTTGATATCTTCCCTGAACTTCTTGCATGAATCTTCATCACTGGAGCTGCTCTCTGCGGGGCCATTAATTCCAGTCTGGTTATTGGCATCCATGCTTTCAGCCTTTCTCTTCTTCGACGCAGGGAAGTTCGTTTCGTTATTCCTTTTCATCAGATCCATCAATTGGGTCTGCAGCGCTTGATAGTTTTCGCACATCACAGTAAGCAATTCGGTCAACTTCTTGTTCTCCGCATTCATCCGATTCAACTTCTCCACCAGTACACTAGCCTGAAAATATATAGATACAAGACATGAGTTCAATCTCCTTAACTAATTGCCATACTTGGATAAATTTATCAAACACCCACTTACATCTTCGTTCACCGATTGCTGCCTCCCCATATCCAGAAAATCAGTGTACAGTACTTCTTCCTTCTGAAAAAATTAACAAAAAGGAAATAATTTCTGTTAATCCAGCGATCCAGCCATTCAACAAACGACATGGGTGTCCACAAATTGCAGTCCTACTAACCGGAGTCTCATCGAGATGTCGGTGGGGATTGACGTTGAGGTCAAAACTGAGAGACGTATCCAACCAAGTCGACTCCATGGCTGCACCGCTGCCGATGCTGTTGGCTAAGTCAATCGAGAGCGAGTCTACAGTTTACGAGGAGCTTCGCTTGATTGGCTCTGGGAAGCTATCTCCAAATGTTCAATTGAATGAGAGAAAGGCCAGAGGGAGTTAGAATATATAGAAAGAAGAGGATAGGATTTTGGGATCCGGCCTGCCTGGTTGCGAGGAAATTCACAGGAGGGCCCCTTGTTGGACGTCGTATTTGAAAGCTTGAATACGTCACAGCCTCACAGGTTTGGTGTCATCTCAGAGCCATCGATCCCAGAATAATCCTAATAATCCTGACCTTCCAAAGCCATTAAAGTAAGAAATGGAAGAGTCGTGTGGTCACTGGAGTCAAGCCAACCGAGCCACAGAAAAAATAAATAGAAAAAGAAATAAAATGAAAAAGGCAAGTTGAACCTCAATCTTGAATCTTGACCTATCCTCCATCTCGCCGACTTCAGCCTGGAGTCTGGGGCCTGGGGCCTGGGGCCACCCCTGTTGCTTTCTGTTCTTTGTTCTTATCACGTTTTCTTTGTTATTTGGGGGTAACCAAGTGGGACCCCACGTATCAAATCTTGTGATCCTCACCAAGTGATGAGATATCAAACGGTTAGAAAGGGTCTGGGTTAACAAGTGGGGGGACCCATTGGGGTCTGCATTGGGGTAACCAAGTGGGACCCATTTGATCAAAACATATGGTTATTTTATGACCATGTGATTGAACCCAGGTGGCCCCACTTATCAAATCTGGTGATGCTCCCCAAGTGATGAGATATCAAACAAGTGGGACCCATTGATCAAATCATGTGATGGAACGAACCCAGATGGCCCACCTTATCAAATCTTGTGGTGCACACCAAGTGATGATGAGATATCAAACGGTTAGAAAGGGTTGGTATATAATATCACATGTGGATATTAGTGTGGGCCATGGCTGAATTACTAAAGTATTTTTGGTACCAGACAAAATAAATGGAAGAATCGGACACCTACAATTTCACGGCATGGCTTGAGTTGAGGTACATTGGCACCGTACTTGAGAATTGAGATATTGACTGCATTTTCCAAAACCAAGGGCAAGCCCACGCGATACCAACACGGTTTCTCTCAAAAATGTCTCTGTGCCAACCCTGATTCAAAGAATCTGGACTTCGTGTCTTTGTTGTATCATTCTTTTTCAACGGGTCCTGACAAAATAGGCCCAGGGTCTACTGCTTTAATGGCACACCCTGTTGAATAACCACTAGTTTGGAAACTTCAAAGGGTTAGAAGTTGATTTGAGAGTCACTTTGCTCTGTTAATTTGGGTAAAAAAACTACTCAATCAGTGGTTTTTCAACGACCCCACTCCACTGGATGTTTGACTCCGAGTCTGAGTCTATTCCATCACACCCCTTTTAATCTGGGAAGAGATCAAACATCAACCACTAATTGGGAATCCGGGGATTCACAATATGATAACAATGCTATATGAATCCATTTTGATAGCCTGAATTAGAGGCATGTTTCATGATAGCCTCGTTTCCTTTTATAAAATAGACTAAGATGGTTTCCTTTTTCTTTCTTTTTCTTTTGATAAGAGAAATAAAACTAAACATGGTTTCTTTTAAGCAGCTGATAAAAGAGGGAATTGATGCCAATACAAAAACTATTGCAATGGAATCTAAGCAGCTGCTTCAAAATTACAATATCATTTTCTATGTACCGAAAAGGGTCAGATCAGAAGTAGGGGTGTTCATAAAAAACCGAAAAAAAAAAAAAAAAAAGTTAATCAAAGAGTTCGGTTAATCAAACCAACTGGTTTGGTATTTTTGAAAAACTAAAAGACTAATTCAATTTTCAGTTAACCTAGAAAAACCAACGGTTAACTGAACAGACTGCTATATCTGTGTGTGTATATATATGTTACATATTATCTATATATTATATATAAATATATATATATATATATATATATATACATTATATATTATATTTATAATTATTAATTTAGTATAACCTATTTATAATATATAATATATTATAAATATAAAAATTAAAAAACTGAAGGACCGGACCAATCAAAAACCAAAACTGGTCAATCAATTAACTAGTGGTACCGGTTTGGTTTCAATTTAAAAGGTTGCAAAAACTGATAGGACCAGTTCGGCTTAAAAAAATTGTCTATGGTTCGATTAACCAAACTGTGAGTACCCCCTAATTAGAAGGTTATTTGGAATACTAAGAAATTTAAATTTAATCCACCTAATTCTGAAATTTTTTATGGTTAGTGGTGAGGGTGCTTCCAAATTATTAATATAAACCCTTTGAAGATCTTCACTTATGATTTGACATATTAGGTTTCTAGAAATTTCAAATTTATTTGACACACTAAAAAATACACCCTAAATAGCCATCTTAAGCATAATTTAATAGAATTTTTTATTGAAATTACTTCCTTACCTACACTTGCCCATTATAATCAAGGTTCAAAGTATCAATATGATTTTGTGTTGATTTTTACATGACTGAAAGGGGCAATATTCATTAATCCTTAGGTTTCTAGGTGTCAACCTATTTGAAAAACATGTTTTATTTAGAAATGATATTAAGCTTTGAACATAGCCATATTCCCCAATTCATAGTACTTCACCTGTCAACCATGTCAAAAGATTATTGATACTTGTATCAAGGATATTTTAAGGGATTGTAGTGATAAGGGCAACTTTTGGGCCCTAATATCAATAAAAATAATCTTTTTAACATAATTATTAAAATATGCTAACTTTTTTAATAAATATCAATTAGGGGAAGAACCACCATTCATCTCCTTCCTCCTTCAAACCACCAAACAAATCTCCCCCAAGATTAATAAATATTGATCACCGATCTCTATTTTTTTGTTCACCCTTGTAATTATTGGCTTGTTGCAAGCAAAAATGGCAAAGCCCACTCTTGCATTTTTGCATTTTGTCATGTGCATCTCATTTCTCCACTTAGCATACTCATAGACCTCTTCCAATCTCGATTTCCAGGCTGTAATGGCATTCAAAACTGCTTCAAGTACCTCTAACATGCTTAGTAGCTGGAATCAAACAACCAATTCATGTACCTAGTACGATGTTTCATGTATTTTTCTAACTGCTTCCGAAGAATAACTCATAGCAGTTCTGCTCTGAGTTTGGAACAACTTAGATGCAAAGAAGAAGAAGAAGAAGAACGGAGAGAGAGAGAGATCGGAGGTGAGGAGATTTATTCGGCGGTCTGGAAGAAGAAGGAGATGAACTGTGTTTCTACCCATATTTGATATTTTAAAGAAAAAATTAGCCTATTCTAGAAATTATATTAAAAAGATTATTTTTATTGATATTAGGATCCAAAAGTTGTCCTTATTAGCTAGAATCCCATATTCTAAACGATGTAAAAATTCTTACCAAACAATTTCTTTAGATTAAAGCTAGCAAAAACTTGTAACTTTCAAACTTGCACACAGATATACCACCACCACCCCTGAGTACCTAGCTTTGTGGAATTAATCAAAGTGCACTCTTTATTAAAACAGAATTGTTTGTTCTGTACTTCTTAATTTCCAACTTTTGGATATGGTTAGGTTAACTTTATTAATTAAATAATATTGATTTAATGGAAAGCAACTTCCTTAGGGCACTCCTTTGAATATTGGATTGAAGCCACAGTGGTTTCAAGGCTAACAAAAGAAGTCAAGTAGGTTCCAATTAAATAAAAAGAAAGACAACCTTTCTGAAATATAATCCAAGAAGAAAACTTGGGGATTCAGCAAGTTAATTGGACAGTGAATAGATTATGTGATGGTGTGCTGAAGTAATGAGCACATGATAGCCCCCCCCCCCAGACAGAGCATTCACCTAACCCAAAGAAAATGATAACAGTCAAAAACCTAATACAAAGTAGAGGACCCACCAAGGACTCAAGACCCTAGACCATGACCATCTGGGTTCATGGACGGATGGACCTTTCTGAGTCTGGTGCATGATCAGAAATACCACGTTGACATATTTGCCAATTAGAGAAGATAAACAGCAAATACGATTCCAAATTAGTGCCAGAAACATTGCATTCAAAGCAGGTTGGTCTTTTCTCCCAAGCGTAAATTTGGGGTGGTAAGCTGAACATACTCGTGATTACAGCAAACCAAGAAGCAAATCTGAACAATGAAATAGATTCTGGGGGCTGTCGGTTGAATTAGTTTCTTCTTAGTCCAATAGTAAGAATAAGTTCCTTATGGTCAACTTTCCATTATTCTCTTCTTCGAAAACATGTTTTATATAAAGAAAAAAAAGGAGCCCAAATGCTTACTTCCCAATTTTCATGTTATTATAAAGGAAAATCCTTTTTCTGATGTGACAGTGCTGCAATATAAATTGCAAGTGAAAGAAAACTGTTTGTGCTGCGTGCAACACGTTGTGGGATGTAACGTATAATTTCTAACTTCTAGAGAATTGAAGGTATTTTTTATTGAATAAAAAAACCCATAAAACACATTTATCTTGCTGTTTGTTGGGCATGTTTCGAGGGAATCTCTTGGGTTAAAGGGCACCCTGTGGGCCCTATAAATTGCCACTTGTCACATGTACAAAGAATTAGAACTTGCAAAGAAAATCAACCAAATTTGATTATGGGTTTTAATTAAGTTACTTTTCTCCAATCTATATAAAGCCCTCAGACCAAAACCAAAAGCCTCCTTTCCCGCTTGGATAAGTGTCATCATATTTTTCTAAGAAAGAAAACTGAAGCCTCAGTTTGGAAGGGTACAAATATATAAAGTGAAAAACCTTGAATTTTGTATTATTTCATATGTATTTGCACTGTACATTTTTATACTTAGAATTTCTTCCAAACCTAGCCAAAAGAACAGTTATTTTCACTCTATTCCTTTTAAGGTATGTATCTATTCATTTGAAAAATTAGTATAAATTTCAAGCCGTAGTTAATTCCATTTTCAAAAAGATTTGTGATTGTTAGTTCCATTAAAAAAAAAAAAAAACTATCTATCTCAAATAATGTAAGATTCATAAAGTGGGTTATTATTTAGAAATAAAAGTTGGTTTAATCTCTTAATATAAATAAAAAATTTATATATCAAAAAATTATTAAA